CCTCCTGACCCCCATATAAGCCTGTCCGCTCCCTCCACTCGGCAGACACCGGCTGCTTCAGGTCCCCCCACAGTTTCCGCCCCACCATTGTTGGTCGAGCATTAAGCATCTCTGCTTCCACACTCTGGAACTTGTTAGGATATACCGATCCCGAGGATCCGAAATAATGACTCAGCAATCCTTAATGAAGGTATGATGGTTTATTATTCACAAACAGTTTATGAGTATATAGCAAAAGAGGTAAATAGTCATACTACCAGTTCTATGTAGTCCGTAGACTGATTTCAGTCTTTCGTATCTGCTCCTCAGGCTCAATCTTTTACTGTACTCACGTTCTCTCTTTCTGGCTCTGCTACCACCCCTCACCTCTGTCTGGTGGCACCCCAATTATACTAATAATACTAATAATTATACTAAATATACTAATAATTATGCTCATGGTCTTCCCCTTATCTCCAGATGGCCCTTACCTCATACATCAGAATTAAAGGTTGTGCCAGCTTCTCACTGTGCCTGAAACCGACAGCCACAGTATTCTTTTAACATTTTAAACCCTGTCTTATAATTGCTATAAGGTGTTATAATTTCTACATATTCTCCTCAATCTAACAGTCCCCGAAATAATGATAATAATGAGGTCTCACAAATACACCAAGACCAATAAAGCGAATAAAACAACATAAAGACACAATTGTATATAAAATTATGGCTTCGGCAATCACAAACGCATAAGACATGAGTAATAAAGTTCAATGCAATTAATTAATCAGATTCATGCAGTGGCTGTGATTAGGGATCGACTTGTTAACGTGGTTCGATCAATGTTGATTGTAGAATATCTCTTCTTAAGATCGGTTAGACTTGTCTTCTTCGTTCCCAAACTTAGATCTTTTTAGTCACATCTGCCAAGTCGGCAGTGAGACCTTCAACAGCTTGTTTTTACCATTCATTGTAGGGTTAAAAACGTATCTTTCAAGGTCGGTATACTTTTGTTCTTGGCAGCCTTTATCTTACCAATGTCAATCAATTCTATTTGAGCAAAACAAGTCCATGAGTCTTCGCGATATCCTTTTTGGTTAACTTAAGACAAACATGAATTCTGGGTTTGCGAAATGTCCAGTCCCCACCTCGAGTGGGTGAAGCTGACAACACTGCCCCACTCTCACCATCAGAATCTTCATATTAGCATCTGTAATTACAGCATTATCAATAATATCATGATTAGGCCACAGAAATGTGAAATATTATTTGAGTGGATGTTCTCTCTGTCTTTGCCCGCTGGCTTTGAGCATCACTGAAATACTGGAATAGACAAAGTAAGTTACATAAAATAAATCAGACCAATGACATTCTTAATACTATCACTTCTCCTTGAACTGTCAGTGTTTACCCATCGACCCTGTCACCGCGCGCTCTACCACTTTCAGGACCCAGCACTCATTCATGGCCCCCTGCGAATTTGGATTGCCTTCCAATGTGGCACCTAATGGTTTGGGGGTCAGTAAGTGTCCGGGTAGTCACATTATCCTCCCTGTCATAACTTGATAGGGAGAGACTCGTGTGGTGGAATGCGAGGTCGACCTAATTGCCATGAGACACATTGGTAGCATTTGCGCCCACTGAGCGGGATGGTCTGTACAATATTTCTTTTATGCCTGGGTTGTGCTGGAGACACACAAAACACCGGTTGTAATGATCCGTGATATCTTTCCCGATAGATGGCCACCATCTGGTATGAAAAAGATGGAAAAAGTCTTCAGACATTTCAGGGGGAGCACACGCAACATCTTGTCCTGGTGCAGTTCCTTTGTACATCAAAAGTGGGCGATCTGTTTCTAGGTTCTTTACAAGGGTGGATCTGTGGGCCCACTGAGTTGTGGCAACGGCTGTGATCGTAGGTGCCATTCGATGGTGACTTGGTATGGATGAAAGATAGCTTTGTATGCTGGTCAGGTTGAGAGGTGTGGTGGGTGAGTTCACAGCATTCACTGCTTTTCCAAGGTGGCTGCCATACCTCCCCTTGCAGTGCAGCTTGTCTGGCGGCAAGATCGACGGCTTTGTTCCCTCTGTGATGGGAGTCACTGGGTGAGTGTGCCTTGACTTTTCCCACATGCAGGGGTGGATGTCGGTCTTGGAGAGCCAGCCACAGTTGAGACAACAGAAGTCAATGCCTCAAGGATCAGTTGTCTACTGAATAGAACTCCCTGGAGGCATACAGTGGTAGAAACCGTACTGTGTTCACCGCATACGCTGAATCCGACCAAATATTGCAGGCCTGTGTGGAGATTTCGTGCACAGCTGTAACCACAGCTGCCAACTCTGCATATTGGGCCGAATGGGTTTTGCACGAAAAGGTGATAGTCCTGTCCAGTAAGATCACCGCGAAGCCGGTATGATGAAGTCCACTCACATAGTAGGATAAGCCATCCACGTAAACATCACTAACATTGCTAGATCGCACCAGACTCTGGGATACCGGGTGATCCGGGAACTGGAGAAGCGGCAATGGGCAAGTGTGTTCAGTTCCGTTGTATTGCAGCATCTGCGGGATTAAAGTTACCTGTCGTGGTGTAATATCAATGTCTCGTCCCACCAACGACAGGGTCCACCGATTCAGCTGCTGTGAAGAGATCAACGTGTCGCCGGGTTTGCGCAGAAATCTCAGTGGTGTGTGTGCAGAATGTAAAATCACCTTCTGCATCCCGTTAATATACGTGAACTGTTCTACCGCCCAACAATTTGCTAAAAGGTGGCGTTCACAAGGATCACATTGTTGTTCGACTCCGGTTAGTATTCTGAATGTCCTTGTCTTCACTGGGCAATAGGTCGTACAGTGGTCTCGCTATCTCAGCGAACCGAGGAATGAAGGATTGCTGATATCCCGTGAGTCCCAAGATGATCGTAATGCCGTCTTGGGGGCAGTGGTAACCGTCGTACCGTTTCCACCTTGCGGGTGTCGGTTTTCAACCCTTGTGTTGTTATAGGGTTAGGGTTAGGGTTAGGGAAGTTATACCCAAAAAGTTTACTGTGGACAACAGCAGCTGAGCTTTCCTGGGGTTAACTTTTAACCCTGCTCCTTTCAGTCTGTTAAACACGTCTGCTAGTAGGGTATAATGTTGTTCTGCTGTCTCTGCTACAATTAACACATCATCAATGTACTGCAAGACAGCCGAACAGGGTGACGCTTCCAAATCTCTGAGTGTACCATACATTCATTTATTGAATATTGTAGGGGAATTATGGAACCGTTGGAGAAAGCGCGTCCACGTATACTGTTGCCCATCGAAAGTGAATGCAAATTTATATTGGTCATCACCTTCCACGGGAAGACTCCAAAGGCCGTTGGATATGTCCAAGGTGGAGTAGCAGATCTGGGAATTTGAGATAGGATGGTCGGTGCGTCGCTCACCACGAGTGCACAAATATGAGTTACGGAATTGAGTCGCCTATAATCAACAGTGAGTCTCCAGCTCCTGTCGGGTTTGCGCACAGACCATATGGGTAGATTAGTTATGAAGGTCCTTTTCGTAATGACTTTTTGTTTAAGAAGTGACTCAATTGTCCTTTTAACACAGGGGTGGCTTTCCCGCGGTACCGGGTATTACTGTACGGGGAGGTGCACAGGTCCATTGATGCACTCCACCTCTTTCAATCTCCCACAATTAAATTTATGTTTAGCAATAGCTCGCTCATTTAAACAACCAAAAACAATAATAAATTGGTCATTTTCAATCTACGACTGTTTGTGGGCCATTGCTGTGCGCAATTGGCTGCCGCGTTCGCCCACAAATATACAGTCAATTCACTTTACAGTGTGTTCTGTGAAGCGCTTTGGGATGTCCTCACGACGTGAAAAGCGCTATATCAAATGCAAGGATTATTATTATATTATTATTATAAATTTGTCAGAATGCTTTAATGGCTTGTACTCCGTGTCAGTTTTTATAGCTGAGATTGCAAACGCATCAGAAATGATACAGTTACCTTTTCTATTATTGCTGTTTGTTACTGAGATCCATAAGCAGGAATTGGTGTAATCCACAATTATACCGTTATCAGATAGTACATCGGACTCCAATGTACCTTTTTTATTCCGAATCGGGATGGCGATGGGCTCTATAACTTTAAGATTTACACGACCCACAGTGATGTCGGTTGTAATATCACTCTTGCCTGTTGTAACCCTTCGAAACCCTTTACTTCATGTATTTGATTAGTGGTCCCCAGGAATGCGTTTGGGTCTTCTGAATGAAATAAGGTGGCGTTCGTCCCGGAGTGTATGAGCATAGTCTGTGGGACTGTGTAACAGACACAAAAGGACGATTATCCAAGATTCGTTTAAATGCAATAATCGAGTACTCAGAGATGGTGGAAGCAGTGCGGGGGCTGTGTGTTGTCAGTACTCTGATTCATCCTCCTCAAAATTGGCTTGAGGGAATGTAAGATGGGTCGGTTGAGGCGCCGGTGGGGCAGAAGGTCTAACTGTTTCGATAACGCTAACCTGTGCGGATTATTATTATTATTAGACGCTCATGAAAAGCCAAGGGGTCTCGTCTTTTTCCTGTCTAACCAAGTCGTATTCCCGCGCTGGGTCCTGGATGGTACCCATTCCCAATGCCTCCTGTATTATTTGCATAAATTCAGCATCTCTGACTGTAGCCCCAAAAGCATAACGGGGAATTTTTGTTTTTAGTGAAAGGGTTAGTGCGTTTATCAGAATCCTCTTTATATCATCACTCTCTAATTCTGGGTGGCAGTCGGTTAGCAGTTGCCCACAGCGGTATATGTCCATTGCACAGGTTTGTTCCATGATTGGTCCCAGTTCTTTCACATGGTGATGCATTTGTCTGGGGTCAGAACTCCAGTTCTAATCAGGCAGTACTCATTGTGTGTGTGTGTCAGTGTGTGTGAGCTCAGATAGTGGTGTACTCAGTGTGTATGTGTGTGTCAGTGTGTGTGAGCTCAGATACTGGTGTACTCAGTGTGTGTGTCAGTGTGTGTGAGCTCGGATACTGGTGTACTTAGTGTGTGTGTGTGTGTCAGTGCGTGTGAGCTCGGATACTGGTGTACTCAGTGTGTGCACAGTCAGCGTGAGCACGCAGTGTCCTGGTCTCTGGGTTCGGTCTCCTCATTGGCATCCACTTGATCTCTGCATACGTCACTTCCTCCGGGCTGGGCTGGGAGTGGGGCAGCTGTGGGGAGACAACAGTGAGGAACAGTCAGGAACAGTCATACACTGACTGTACACACACAAGGCGAAACATTGGCAAAGTTTCATTAATCCACACACAAGCCTCTGTTTACCGAGTAGTAACTAGGAGCAGTTAGTCGGTTGGTGGATCACTTTTTCCAGGGCGCAATAATGCCTTCAAAAATAAAAAATAAAATAATAATAATAAATTGGTCACTCAATCCATGACTTTGTGGTACGCTGCTGCGCACAATTGGCTGCCGTGTTTCACCCACAAAGTATACAGTCAATTCACTTTACAGTATATTCTGTGAAGTGCTTTGAGACACCTCGAATACATGATAAGGCATGACATCAAATGCAAGGAATATTATCATTAACTTGCGTTTATTTAGTGACACAATGACTGTATATTCACACTGACTGTACACATACTCACACATAGGCTGTAAACAGTATACTGTATACTTCACACACTGTAGTGTGAGTGTGTATTTAATGTAGAAAGTGTGAGGTGATACACTTAGGTAGGAAAAATGATAGAAGGCAATATAGACTTGGTAGCTCAATCTTAAGGGGGGTGAACGTACAGAGAGATCTGGGTGTTCAAGTAAGCAAATCATTAAAGGTAGTGGGGCAGGTAGATAAGGCAGTAAAAAGGCATTTGGTGTACTGAACTTTATTAGTAGGGGCATAGAGTATAAGAGTAGGGGTTATGGTTAATCTGTACAAAACACTGGTTAGGCCTCAGCTGGAGTACTGCGTCCAGTTCTGGGCACCTTACCTCAGGAAGGACATTAAGGCACTGGAAAGGGTGCAGAGGAGATCACGAGAATGATACCAGGAATGGGGAACCTTAGCTATGAGGACAGTGGAGAAGTTAGGACTTTTCCCATTAGAGCAGAGAAGGTTACGCGGGGACCTGATAGAGGTCTTCAAGATCATGAAAGGTTTCAACAGGCGAGATAGGGAAAAGCTGTTTCCGCTGGTAGGTGTGTCTGTGACTTGTGGTTACAGTCTTAAGATATCTACCAAAAGAAGCAGAGGAGAGGTTAGAAGGAATGTTTTCACTCAGCGAGTTGTTCGAATTTGGAATGATCTGCCCGAAAGGGCAGTGAAGTCCGATTCGATAACAGCTTTTAACAGAGAACTGGACAGGTATCTGGAGAAGACGGGTTTGCAGAGTTATGAGGAGAAAGCTGGTGAGTGGGGTTAGTGAAAGTGACGCTCTGTCAAAGAGCCGCACAGACGTGATGGGCCGAATGGCCTCCTTCTGTGTCGTAACATTCTATGAATCTATGAATAATCAGTGTTTCTCTATATAGTCAATATACTGTACACACACTGACTGTGCACACACAGACTGTAGACACACACAGACTATACACTCACACATAGACTGTACACACACACACACACAATTGGACGCTGTGGGTTAAGGTTGGCCAGTGAGGGGCGCATTGGAGCCAAGTTTGTAATCGCGTGAGAAGTGAAGAGACAAGTTTCACTCTCAATCACCGACCATACGACTGAATCCCCTCTCCGAGGGTAACAAGGGGGGGCAGGCGTAGATCGGGTGTGGGAGTGGGGGAGGGGTGTGTGTGTGTGAGGTGGGAGGGCAAACTTACAGCTCTCCTGGTGATATTTTAAATTTAAAAAATATATTTCCATTTTTTAAATGTAGTTTCTGAACTGGCGTTGATTATCCTGTGCTGATCTGAGATATTCTTTAAATCAACCCTCCTCTTGATAACATAAGCCATGTATTGAAACCTGTGGTTCTGCACTGCATGAGTGACTTTCCCATTCAGCCCATGACCTGTACATGTACATGTTCAGCCCATGATAGCTCACACAGTCAGTAAAAATAGTCAAAATAGCCAATAAGTTGGCATACAGATTGCATTTGCTCATGCACACACACAACGACAAACAATTACCATTGAGTTTGTGGAGTCCTGTAACTCAGTGGTTAGAGCACTCGCTTCGCAAGCGAGAGAACCCTGGTTCGATTCCCAGGCAGGACAAAACCTCAACCTCGTTTGCTTACTTCTCACGCCTCTGCTTCCCCGGCAGTAAATAGAGATCTGGCTGTTAGTCGATTGGCGGATCGCTTTCCGGGCAATAATCCCTCCCCACCAAAAAAAAATCTCAACATCGTGATAAGGCGCTATATCAAAGACAAGTTTTATTGTTAATAAGAATAAACCCACAGTTGTGGGTTAAAGTGTCCAAATTATTTTTTTTCTTACTTTGTTTAATGTTAGAGAGAATGCTCTAACCACTGAGCCACAGGACTCTCAAGTTTTATTATTATAGTGAGGCAAAGTCATATCGAAACTGTTACTTGTTTATATCTTTTTCCTTTATTCATTTTACCGCAGGGCCCACTAAGTCACCGGCGTTAACTGAAACGGGACGAGCTTGTCACTCCTGGTTTAGTTGGAGCCTAGCAACTGAGCTGTGTAACTTATCACTAATACTATATAAAGTGTGTTTCCTCCTGCCTCAAGCCTGGTCTGTTCTCTTACATTAACTCGCTTGTTATTCGCTCTGAGCACTTCGTAATTTCCCAGTAACTGTTACGAGTTTCCACTCAGTTGAAACCCACATGGCAGGTTTTCCTGTTGTGATAAAATTCCGATCTTGCTGTTTAATCATCGGTGCCCATCACATGAAGTGGGTCACCCAGAGTGAAACCCAGACTCACTGCACAGCCACAGGCCTGGTTTTCATCCACTGGAGGAAAGGCTATCGTATTACTAATAATAATAATCATCATCTTTGCATTTGATATAGTGCCTTATCCGATCTTCAAAACGCCTCCAAATGCTTCACCGAATATACTGTAAACTGAATTGACCGTATTTTTTGTTGCAGCCAATTGCACACAGCAGCGTACCACAAACAGTCGTGGATTGAGTGAACAGATAATTTTTTTTAAATTAAATTTTTTTTAGAAGGGATGAATACCTCCAGAAAAGCAATCCACCCAATCGATTAACAACTGGGTTCCTCTCGCTGCTAGAAAAACACAGGCGTGTGGAGTAAGGAAACCTGCCTAAGATTTCGAACCCGGGTCCTCTCGCTTGCGCGGTGAGTGCTCTAACCACTGAGCTACAGGACTCCACAAAACGTCCAGCTGAACAGGCGCAGACAGGACCTCAAGCCCGGCATTGGTGACTTTGAGCTCACAGTCCAGGCTGACGTTGTATTGTCAGAATGAGATGTCAAACTGAAGCCTGTTCATGTGAATGTTAAAGCTCTTGTGGCACTATTCGAAAGGAGGAGAGAGTTTCTCCCGATTCCTGGTTGATAGACCCTCAGATAAATTGCTCCCTGGTCTCGCACTGAGTGCAAACGGTGGGGCGTTTACCTCCAAAAGCAGTCACTACACTTAACAGGTTTTTGTTTTGTCAGCAGGGTGTCTGATACATGCAGAAACCCATCACCATGCTTGAGAGCATCCCAACCAAGCTGAGATTTTCTTGCATCCCACCGTCACATGAAAATCCCAGAGATAGATTGTTGAAATGGATTGCCCACTCTCTCCCTGGAGGGACGTATCCTGCCATCCTGCTTATCTAATTCTGTGAAGTATCAGGCTGGTTGGCAAGAGCCAAGGCTTGGGGACCCCAAAGTGTGTGTTGGGGTAACTGCTGGAGTCTAACCAGCTAAAACTTGCCATTCATGTTGCTCTCTGGCAAACTTTCCCGCTGCTTATCCAGCTAGGGCCACCGTACCCGTTAGAGCTTTGGCTGCAGGTTTAACAGGAGCTGAGTGAGATGATTCCCTGCCCCCAGTGACTGGTTTGCTCTTCCAGGTTTTGCTGATGAGCCAAGGCTGTGCTGCCATCAGCAGTGACCTGGAATACCACGGACCTGTCTGGCTCAGGAACCAGACTGGAGACTGGTTCAATTCCCACATTCCATTGCGACGGCCTGTCACCTTGGGGCAGTTCAGCTCCACAGTCACCTCGTTTAACCCCCGCGCCCTCCCCTCCCCCCCCCCACCCCTCGGAAGATAAACGGTTAATGTTACATGTGATACATGGAGATGTTTCGACGTGATAAGGAGCTATATAAACCCAAGTGTTTTGCGTTTCAATGTAAAAGCTGACAATTGAAAAGAAACCAAACATGAAAGTGGTTTGACACTAAAGCCAATGTGGTTGATTAGTTGGTTGGTTAACAATGGAAAGGAGAACTCGCTCGCTCACTCGCTGTGTTCTGCTGACAGCAGCTGAATATATGAGATGATCAAGACCTTTGCTGCTGGAGTATTCTTTCCTGTGTCAATGGAAACATTCGGCTCTCAAAAGCTCAGCAGAAACATTTTGAGTTGTTTTTTCCTCACTCACTTCCCTTGCAAGCCAGGTTGAGAGAAAGAAGAAACTTGCGATCTGATAGCACCTCACCACATCAAAATGTCATTCACAATACTTTTGTTATTGGTGAGCGAGGTTAGTTCTTCATCAACCTCCATTAACCGAATTAGACCAAAACACTTTTCACTTTGAGAGCACCATATTCTGTGGAGTATGAAAGATTTTCCCCGCAGTCAAGCCCCAATCCCCCTCTCCCCCAAACCCTCTCGGCCCCTAAATTGTCAAAGGACAATATGGAGCTGAAACTCGAACAAGTAGAGCTCAGTGGTTAGAGCACTCGCCTAATTCCGGGCAGGGCAAAACCTTGGGTGAGTTTCCTTACTCCACACACACGAGCCTCTGTTTACCCGGCAGTAAGTAGGAACCTGGTTGTTAGTTGGTTGGTGGATCTCTTTTCCGGGGTTAATAATCCCTTCAAAAAGTAAACTTAATATAATAATAAGGGTTTTTATTCTACAGAGCTCACTTGAGCCTGGTGACCATGTGCTCAAGTGAGCTCTGTATTCCTGTATCTCCACTTCCTTTTTGCGAGGGCAAATCACATTCCTCATTCGAATGTCCTGCAATACCCATCCTAGCCATCCAAGGGGTGAAGACATAATAATAATAATCCTTGCATTTGATACAGCTTTTTATCACGTCTTCGAGATGTCTCAAAGCGCTTCACAGGATATACTGTAAAGTGAATTAACTGTGTATTTTGTGGGAAAAATACGGCAGCCAATTGCGCACAGCAGCATCCCACAAACAGTTGTGGATTGAGCGACCAATTTTTTGTTTATTATTATTATTTACTTTTGAAAGAATTATTACCCTGACTGACAACCGGAACACGGGAACACAGAAACATATGTATATAGGAACACGGGAACACCAAAACATGTACATAGGAACACAGGAACACAGAAACATATATACATAGGAACACGGGAACACAGAAACATATGTATATAGGAACACGGGAACACAGAAACATGTACATAGGAACATGGGAACACGGAAACATAGGTACATAGAAACACGGAAACACAGAAATATTGTTACATAGGAACACGGGAACATACTTGTCAATTCCCTCCATTATTGTAAGCCCCATCATGTGTCACAGTTGACACCGGCCACGGATGATGGGGCTTACAATAATGGCTGTTTGTCTGAAGCTTCTGACTGTTCACTTACCCGGGTTAGTGAGCACGTGCAAGTGTCTGTCTTTGCCGTCGAATTCCCATCTACTGTAGAGCAGACTGACGGGGCGAGATGAGAGGCTGTACGTTTGGGACAAGAGACAGAACATTTTGATTGCTTTTTTTTTGTTCTTTTTCTTTGCGTTTGATATAGATTTTAACCCCACTGCCATGATGTCTCAAGGCACTGCCTCCAGTCACCCAACACCAGAAACTCCCATCTCTTCTCGAGCAGTGGATTGACTGCATATTTTGTGGGAAAAGCAGGGCAGCCAATTCCGCACAGCAGTGTCCCGCAAACAGTGATGGATTGAGTGTTTATTTGGCCTGGCCATCATGTAGGAGCGCTTCACAAACATTCAGTTGGACGTTAAAGAACCCACGGCACTATTCGAAAAGAATAGGGAGTTTCTCCCAGTGTCCTGGCCAACAATCAGCAGATTGGTCATTCACTCCATGCCTACAAAATACACAGTCACTGCGCATTCTGGTAAATTCTGTAAGTGTTTTGAGACGTCCTCCTGACGTGAAATTTGCAACACCAAATGCAAGGATTATTATTATTATAGTTATTAAGTAGGAACCCAATTATTAGTCGATTGGCGGATTGCTTTACCGTGGGTAACAATCCCTTGCAAAAAAATGTGGTTACTCAATCCACAACTGTTTGTGGGACGCTGCTGTGCACAATTTGGCTGCCGCGTTTTGCCAACAAAATACACAGTTTATTCACTTTACAGTATTATCTGTGAAGCGCTTTGAGACATCTCGAAGATGTGATAAGGCGCCATTTCAAATGCAAGGATTATGATTATCATTATTATTATTATTATTACAGCAATATCCCACAAGCAACCATAGAGATTTAATTTGGGGGACTATTGGCCAGGACATCAGGAGTGATGATCAGGTGCTATATCAAGTACAAGGATTATTGTTACTGTTACTATCTTTAGGCATCTTTAGGTTACTGTCTTTAGGCATTGATCGTTTGCGGAGTCATTTTCTGCGCTCATAAGTGGGGATGTGTGACTGACACAGCTCAGCAGAGCTGGTGGCTGTGAGAGGATTCACAAACAGAAGCCATCAAACGGAATGTGGGATATCTATAGTCAGACGCTTGGACTTTGTTTAGTGAATGAAGTCACACAGTTGAAGATTCATGAATAAGTGAGGCCAGTTGTATATTTATATAATCTAATTGCTGTAATGGGATCTGATAAGAATTTAGAGAAGATTAGTTTGATAAATGAGAACTTCTCTATTTGCCTGTGACTGTTGACTTGCTTGGTTCAGGGCTTGTCTGGGACATTTGAGGAGAATTTACAGTGCTTCAATTGGAAACATCTGGCTTGAATTGTTGTTCCCGATTTATGTGACAAATTCAGGCACTGAACACAAATCTGGGTCACCAGAACCGTGGCTCTATGGTCACAGTCCTGAGTGTTTCCCCTTTGTGAGCTAAAGATTGTTGAGTGGAATCTCCAAACCCCTTTGTATCGAAAGGGGCCTCTGAGTTTCCCTACAATTGACCTTTTCTTGTTTCAATACCCCCAACAAAGAGGTTCATGTATGTCCTGTTTGGAGTCCCGTAGCTCAGTGGTTAGAGCACTCCCCTTGCAAGCAAGAGACCTGGATTTGTTTTCCGGCAGAGCAAAAGCCTGCAAGTTTCCTTACTCCGCACGTTTGATAATAATCGCTCAAGAAAAAAAATAACAATTTGGTCACTCAATCTGTGACTGTTTGTGGGACGCTGCTGTGCACAATTGGCTGCCACATTTCGCCCACAAATATACAGTCAATTCACTTTGCAGGATATTCGGTGAAGCGCTTTGAGACGTCTCGAAGACGTGATAAGGTGCTATATCAAATGCAAGGATTATCGTTATTATTATTTGATTATAATTTTTTAATTAATAACCAAACTCACCTTTTCGTCGTCTTCTGAGGCAGAAGAGAAACAAACTGAGTATTGAGAGGCAGAGGAGGGCAATACCAGCCGTGACGAAGCTGGCTGTCTCATTTATCACCAGTCTTGACTCCCCACTATCTGTTGTAGGAGCGCTGGTCACTGGAGGAAAACACAGGAAGGTTACACCACTGTTACACCGCTTATAACATCCAGGCTCGACTACACCAACTCCCTGCTTGTTGTCCTTCTCAACTCTTCCCTCCACAAGCTGCAGATCATCCAGAACTCTGCAGCTTGTGTCCTCTCCCGCACCAGGCTTCTCGACCCCATTAATCCTATCTTCACCCCGGCTCCACTGGTTCCCCATCCCCCACAGGATCAAGTTTAAAACGTGGTCCTCACCTTCAAAGTCCTCCCCGGCCTTGCTCCTCCCTCCCTCTGTAACCTGCTAACACCGTATTGTCTTGTCCGCTCCCCCCACTAAGCGGGCTCCGGCCTGCTCCACACCCCCTGCCTGGCCTCCCCCCAATTTGATTCCCGGCAGGGAGAAACATTGGGCAAGTTTCCTTACTCCACACACACGCCTCTGTTAACTAACAGGAGGAACCAAGTTGTTAGTTGATTGGCAGATTGCTTTTCTGGGGGTAATAATTCCTTCAAAAGAAAATAATAATAAAAAAAATTGGTCACTCAATCCACGACTGTGGGACGCTGCTGTGTGCAATTGGCTGTTGCGTTTCATCCACAAAATACACAGTGTTTACAGTCTATTCTGTGAAGTGCTTTGAGACGTCTCGAAGACATGATAAGACGCTGTTATCAAATGCAAGGATTATTATTGTCATTATTACAACATGCACTCCCCAATTTACCTTGTTGGGAGATGACTGTGAGGTTGACGTACGCTTGAGATTCTTTCTTTGAATCCGTCACTGTGACCCGATACATCCCGGTGTCGTTCAGCCTCAGGTCACGGATAAACAAGGAAGCATTTTCGGGAGAAAGTGTGACTCTGCCTGTGTAGGTGTCAGGGACAAACAAGGGTTTTATCCAGCCTTTGGTCTGAGCCGTATCTGGCAAACTGTGGGTCATCACTATCTCCGTCCTATATCGTGATAAAAATTTCCACTGTATCCGCAGGAATCCCGAGCTGTTCGGTGCCTCGTAAAGCACGGGGAGCACGGAGTCCTGGTTCACGAATCTGGTCACTGTGCTCTGGCACGCCGTCACTTTAAGAGCGCTGACATGGGCTGTCGAAAATCACAAAGAAACATTTATAATAATAATATCACAATCTTTACATTTGATACAGCGCCTTATCGTGCCCTCGGGCCGCACTTCACAGAATATGCTGTAAATCGAAGTGACTGCATTTTGTGGATGAAATGCGGCAGCCAATTGCGCACAGCAGTGTCCCACAACAACAACAACAATATTACATGTGTGAAGTGCCTTTCACGTTGGGAGGACGTCCCAAGGCGCTGGACAGTCAGAGTTTCAGATCTGAGCTGGGGGTCAGGATCGGGGAGGGTGGAGGGCAGGGGGGAAGCAAGTTGATCGAAAGCACGGTCGAATAGTCTTAATTAATAATATTAATTGAATAATCAATCGAATAATTAATGAAACAGTGGATTAAGTGCCCAAATTTTTTTAATGTATTAATTTTTTTAAAATTTACGCCAGGAAAAGAGATACGCTTTCAACCAATCGACTAACAACCATGTTCCTCCTTACTGTTAGGTCAACATCCAGAAACCGTGACAGCGATTACTGACTTTGTGGAAACCAAAGGCTGGATATATCCCGGGTTAGCCCCTGAAGCCGACACAGGCCGAGTCACGCTTTCTCCCGAAAATGCTTCCTGAAGCATGTGTGTGGAGCAAGGAAACATCGAGTGCTCTAACCACTGACCTGCAGGACTCCACAAGTCTTGCTAGAACTTCACAAGGGTATTCAGGAGAGATCAACGACCTTTAAAACACTTGCCCGTACACTCCCTCTCCCCAGTTCAAGTGACAACGCATTCTAGATTCTTTGCCACAAACTCACCAGGTAGTGAAGAAAGGATGAGAAGTGAGGATAGCAGCGAAGGGATTCTTAATCTATCTCTATCCATGCTGGGCATTAACTGTGGGCAATGTAGGGCAGCCCGAATCACTTCCCTCGCTCCCTCCCCCGCGCTCGCTCTCTCGTGTTCGCTCTTGCTGTCTCTCTCTCTCTCTCTACCAGCTCAGCAGTAAGGATTTCCACGAAGTGAGTAATCACTGTCATGGTTACTGGATGTTTATATTCAAAGGATGTGGTTGAAAGTTCACTTTCCAGCATAAGCTGATTGTGACTGTTTTGCTTCTGGAGGATTTAAACTCAAGACTTCCCTCCATCAGAATATTACAGCACCTTTTGAACACAGCTCGTGTCCTCTCCCGCACCGAGGTCCGAGAACCTATCACCCTCGTTCTTGCCCGGCTTCACTGGCTCCCCATCCCTCAGAGAATCCAGTACAAAACCATCGTTGTTACCATCAAAGCCCTCTGTGGTCCTGCTCCCCTCCTACCTCTCCGACCTCCTAACCCCATAAGGCTGTCCGTTCCCTCCGCTCGGCATTCCCCAGTCTGCTTCAGGACCCCCACACTTCCCGCCCCACCATTGTGTTGGGATTTCCGATCCCATAGTTCGAAATATGACTCGACGATCCAAATATGGTGTAGCAAGGTTTATTATGAACAGAGTGAACACAACATGCATTAATAAGTTACTACAAATTTCCAACAAATTATACTACCAGTCTTTGAAGACAGTCACACAACATCATGGAACATCTTCCTTGTAATCCTTAAAGGGACCTCTCCACACTCGTCTCTCTCTCTCTGGAGCCTTCCTGCACTTCTAACCATTCTCACCTAGAGGTGCGATAGTTATACCCTTTCTCCAAGTGTCCTTCCTCGGGCCCCTCTACCCACTTCTGATACAGTCACTTACTCAGGTTAATCAGTCATTTGGCTTGGTACCATCCTGTCTGAGTCTTCTCAAGGACTTTTCTTTGTCCTGTCTTAATAAAATGATTTAATCAGTCTCGACTGTATCGGATGCTCATCACCTTGGTATGTGGGATCGTCAGTACACTCCCCCCAATTGACTGGCTGCCCCTCATCAATACTACCGGGATGGTACCAAGCTCCTCCATATTGAACAACTTGCTCATCAATGGTATTCTTGAGGATTGCCTGCTGTCGCTTGGGAGGCCCTGTCAGAATCTAGAGACTTATTGCTAGGCCGAGATCCTGTGTCGACCGGTACCTTGGACCGTTACCTCTGTGGGCTTGTTGTTATTGACTGATAAGTGGTGACCCCCTGCCCTTTTCCAAGGCTGTCTGGAGTACTCCTTTAGAAACAAAGAAAACTAGATGTGTCCTATCTCATGACTGTCACTATTTCCTATACTACATTTAATATTTCATTCTTATTAGACTACAACTTCTATAATCTAACAATTGGCAGTCGGGCATTCAGCATCTCTGCCCCCAAACTCTGGAACTCTATCCCGCAATCCCTCCACCTCACCCCCTATCTTACCTCTTTCAAGACCCGTCTCAAGAACCTCCTCTTCGACCGTGCCTTTGGTTATCCTCCCACTCCCACCCACTGCCCTCCACACCTCCTGATCCCAACCATGAGCTCGGGTACAGATCCCTGACAGTCCAGCTCCTTGGGACAACCTCCTGATGTGAAAGGCGCCATGTACAGATCATCTGTTGTTGCAGATCCCTTGGTGTGGCAGGTTTGCGGTGAAATACTGGGAGCAATTCCATTTTGGGGTGAGTGGTGGGGGGGGGGGGAGAGGGGGGTGTTCTGTGACAGTCAGTCAGGTTTCTGTGGAGGGGGGGGGGAGCCTGTTGACATCCTGTCAGGAGGTGTTGGTTGAGATTTGACTGAAATTTACAAGCAGTGTCAGTGTGGCTTCCTGCTCTGGCTGGACTCCAGGCTCAGGCTCAGTGGATAAATATTTGACACTTCGTTTAACGCCAGAAGCTTCAGGTAGGAAATAGCTTTCAAACACTGGTGACTGTCGGGGCTCGTATTGTGTTCTGTCACTGTTATCCTGTGACCAACATGCGGCAGCAAAGTATCACTAAACTAGAAACACATTATGTGTCAGCCTAACACACGATAGCGACAGATCTATCCCCCCGCCTCTTACCTCCTTCAAATCCCATCTGAAGGCCTTCGTCTTCGACTGTGCCTTCGCCCAAACTCCCATCCCCCTGCACACCCGCCAACCCTCCTGAGCCTAAGTCCTCGCTCAGGACCGAAAGCCCTGACTGTCCCGCGCCCTGGGATGTTCTTTCCAACATGAAGGGCGCTACACAGGTGGAATTTGTTGTTGTTGTCTCAAAGCGCTTCACAGGCTGTAGTGTAAAGTCGGGCGACCAGCAACATCCCACAAACAATCGTGAAGTGAGTGGCCAATTTTTCTTTGGTGGTGGGGGTGGGGGGGGAGGATTGTCAGCCAAGGTAAGGGGAGAGAGAAACTTACTTATCTTCTTGAATAGCGCCATAGGATCATTAATGTCCACAGAAACACTTTGGTGTTAACATCTCATTCGAACGATGGCACTTCACCCCACAGCACCGTACTGGAGGTCAGACAGACACAGACTGGTCCTCAACGCTTTTCCAAGGGCACGATTTGGGAAGAGATTAAACCACTTTAATTAAACCACTTCTGTCCACTCCAGGAATTGGAAAATTAAATGGAATGCCTCACAAGCCGGTTGTGAATATATCCTACCCTATCAACAACAACAACAACAAGATTCCATTTATAAAGCGCCTTTCACGTCAGGAGGACGTCTATCACGTTAACCTGACTTCCAAAGAACCTTTTAAAGGTTAAAAGTGAGAAAATTATAAATAAAAATAATGTTTTGGTCACTCAATCCACAACTGTTTGTGGGACGCTGCTGCGCACAATTGGCTGCTATGTTTCGCCCACAAAGTACACAGTCGCTACACTTTACTGCATATGCTGTGAAGCGCTTTGAGGCTCCTCGAAGACGTGATAAGGTGCAATATGAAATGCAAGGCTTATTATTATTAAATTCTCTCTGGGATGAGCCCAGTTTCTGTGTGAAACCACTGTGATTGGAGATCAGGCCTTTTTTCTGTACACAAGAACATGTGGTTTGGCTTCCTCTGTGTTCTCGCCCCCTCAACCTCATGCCTCCCCGCCTGTGCCTGGCAGCCAGTGGATGTGGGACTTCATTGGCAATTTGTGGGCCTCTCTCAGTGGAAAGTACAGAGCAATTACAATGTTAAGTTGTAGCCAAACCTCTTGGGCGCCGTCAAGTGCAGTATTTGCACCTCGATCCTTCAGCTGTCGAGTTGCTCAGAACTAATTCTCTCAAACCCTTTCATTAGCTTGAGCACCTCGATCACATCGCAACCATAAGTTACATTTACACAGCCTTGTTCACCTTATGAGGACATCCCAAGGAGCTGGACAGTCAGGGGTTTGGACCCGAGCTGGGAGGTTGGAATCAGGAAGGGTGGAAGGTAGAAGAGTGACAGAAGGTGGGGGGGTGGGATAGGAGAGTGACCAAAGGTGCGGTCGAAGAGGAGGGTGTTGTGACGGGCCTTGAAGAAAACAAGGAAGGAGCCGAGGCGGTGGGCCTGTTGGGTGGAGTTCCAAAGGGAGGGGATAGAGAGGCCGAACGTTCGACCACGATGGTGGGGTGGGGGGGCGGGGTGCAGGTTGGAGCCTGCTGAGCAGAGGGGGCGGAAAGGTTGATGTGGGGTCAGCAGGTCACAGAGGTAGGTAGGGGGAGCGAGACCGTGGAGGGCTTTGAAGACAAGGACGAGAAGTTTGAACTCTATCCTCTGGGGGATGGGGAGCCAGTGGAGCCGGGCGAGGGTGGGGATTAGGGGGTCACGGACACATTTGCTGGTAAACCCGGTCCGTTATTTTTATTCGCCTGTGGAAAGCGCTTATTGCCTCCCTCCGACCCGCAGAAACATTCTGCTCCCAGATCCATGTCCAATTCTGACGTTTATTAATACTGAGCAGTAGAAATGTACAGGAAAGTTACTTTATCACTCTCAGAAATTGCACAGTCCACAGAGAGACATGAGGACACACAAGTCGTGTTGTGCGAGTCACAAAAAAAAGGAATTGCAAGACTACAAAGGGAGGGGTGTGGGGAGGAGGAAGGTGGGGGGGGGGGGGTGAGGGGAGGAGGAGAGTGGGGTTCGTGTGTGTGTGGGTGGGTGTGGAGCCAAGCAAGTCCAGTTTGAAAATCAGAAGTTCTGTACATCATGAGCCCTAATTCTAATGGGGAGTAAAAAGCAGAGACTTAAAAACTATTGTTTCAGAATCATCACATAGCATCTGCATGTGGTCCTCAGGCAGTGGGGGAGTGGGGGGAGAATATAGTCCGGGTTGGTTGTTGGGAGGGGTACAGAAGTGGAGCCAAGCAAGAGAGGGGGGAGGGAGAGGGAGCAAAGCGATGAGAATCGAGAGAAAGGGGAAGAGAGAGGAGTAAGGAGAGGAAAAGAGGAGGAGGAGAGGGAGCAACGGGAATGAGAGGAAAGACAGAAGAGGAATGAGAAACAGAGAAAGAGAGACAGGGGGGGGGGGAAGGAAAGAGAATAGGGAGGGAGAAAAGTGAAAAGGTAGTGAGAGAGAGTCAGAGAGACGCGAAGGAGGGAGGAAAGAGAGAAGGGGAAAGAGAGGAAGGAGAGAGAAGAGTGTGAAGAGAGAGGGAGAGAGATATAGAAAGACCAAAGAAGATGAGGCAACAGACTGAATGTCGGGGGGCGCGCAGATTCCACTGACCCAGCGACAGATCACTCCAGGCTTCACAGCCTTCTCCCCGAGAGAAAGTCTTGAGGGGGAGAGAGAAAGAGGGGGGTGAGAGAGGGAGAAAGGAGAGGGGAAGAGGGGGAGGGGGGGGGGGGGGGGGGAGAGAAAGGGGAGCATAGGAGCTGGAAGGGGGAATGGAGCCGAGGACCTCTTTGTAAGCGAACCTAATTGCACAGAAACCTTTATTAAGAGTTTATGAGAGAGAATCACCTCTTTGCTCAAACCGCAGCGCAACAGGGAACCGGAGCCGTGGCCGAGTCCTGCCGTGTTTGCTGCCCATTCGGTTTGCGGTGCTGACCGATCGCCAGGGGACCAACATGGCCACCAGCCTCTTCTTCCCGCTTCTGGTTAATTTTTTTCTTGTAAAAAGTGTTGCCGTTTCAAAAAGATCCCTGATCCGCAGCGTTCCCCCTCCCCCACCCCCGTGTCCGTTCCCGTCCCGCGGCCGGCCGCTGACTGCCGCCACCCACGCCCCCCCTCCCCTCCCTCCCCCCCCACCCCCCCCCCCCCCCCGCCCGCCCGCAGCTCACACGCTCAGGAGCCAGAAGAAGAAGAAGATGGCGATGAAGAGGAAGAGCGAATCCCAGTTGTTGTTGCCGGCAGCGGCCCCACGGTTCCCCCCGAAGAAGGAATTCCAGTCCATGTTGCCGTGGTTTCCCCGATCGTTGTCTATGAGGAAGAGCAGCGGCTCAACTGTTGGTCACTCGCCATCACAGCAAACCTCCCCCCAACCCCTCGCCTCCACGCACATCCCCTCTCCCCCCACGCGCCTCCCCCCTCCCCCAACACGCCGCCCCGACACGCCTCCCCCGCTCCCCGACACGCCTCCCCCGCTCCCCGACACGCCTCCCCCGCTCCCCGACACGCCTCCCCCGCTCCCCGACACGCCTCCCCCGCTCCCCGACACGCCTCCCCCGCTCCCCGACACGCCTCCCCCGCTCCCCGACACGCCTCCCCGCTCCCCGACACGCCTCCCCCGCTCCCCGACACGCCTCCCCCGCTCCCCGACACGCCTCCCCGCTCCCCGACACGCCTCCCCCGCTCCCCGACACGCCTCCCCGCTCCCCGACACGCCTCCCCGCTCCCCGACATGCCTCCCCCCTCCCTGACACTCGTCCCCCGACACTCCTCCCCGCTCCCCGACACGCTTCCCCCGCTACCTGACACGTCGTCCCCGCTCCCCGACACGCCTCCCCCGCTTCCCGACATACCTCCCCAGCTCCCTGACACACCTCTCCCGCTCCCCGACCCACCTCCCCCCCTGGCCCGACACACCAACCCACCTCCCCACAGACTGGCTGACAGCACTCACCCATTCGCTGGCGGTTGTCATTGGAGTTAAATACTGTGGTGAAGAATCCAAAGGGAAAAGCTCCGATCCCGAAGGACATGTGGAAGCCGGTGTCGCCAAATCCCTGAAAACCCTACAACAGGAAGAAAAACATTCCTCCGATCTCACTCGTTCTGGATAAACATCCCTTTTCCCCCATATCATCAAACCCCTTACTTTCCTTGGGGCGAAACGCTGGGCAAGTTTCCTTCCTCCACACACACCTGTTTACTCAGCAGTCAGTAGGAACCTGGTTGTTAAGTCGCGGATCGCTGTTCCGGGGGTAATAATGCCTTCATAAAAAANGTAAGTTGGTCACTCAATCCACGACTTGTTTGTGGGACGATGCTGTGCGCAATTGGCTGCTGCTTTTCGCCCACAAAATATGCAGCACTACACTTTACAGTATATTTTGTGAAGCGCTTTGAGATGTCTCAAAGTCGTGATAAATGAAAATACTATTATTATTACTATCGCATTATAAAACTCCCATCCATCACCTCCATCTACCAGCACATCCCTGCCATCCACGTTCACTGTGTAACATGTGAGGCAGATTTATTGACTGTAAACTGCAGATTGTATGACTATTATGTATGAGAGAAGCTCAGCGGGCTCTGGTCTGCTCCACGTCACTATCGGCTGTCAGGCCTTCAGCTTCTCTGCCCCCACCCTTTGGAACACCATCCCACAGTCCCTTCGCCTCGCTCCCTCGCTCGCCTCCTTCCAGATCCCCCTCCGTGACCGCGCCTTCAACCCCTGCCCTCCACCCTTCCTGATCCCAATCCCCAGCTCGGGTCCAAATCCCTAAACGTCCAGCGCATTGGGACGTCCTCCCGACGTGAAAGCCGGTGTGTTGAATGCAGTTTGTGGTTAGTTTGCAGTTCATTGTGTAAACTAACAGCCCTGGAGTATGGTGTCTGTGCATTTTGTAGCTAAATTCCAACATCCAATTGAACTGGCACGGACGGGACATTGGCTTCACATCTCAGCTGAAAGATTCTCTAACCTTGCCGTTGAACGGTGTGCAATAATGGTGACCTTTACGTAGGCAAACAAAGCGGCAGTTTTCACGTGCTTTCTCCTTTGATAAATACAAGCGTATGAGTGTATTTGTGTGCGCATGTGTGTGTACGCGTGTGCGCGCACGTGTGTGTACGTGTGTGCGCACGCGTGTGGGTGTGTGTGGGAGGGGGCAAGTTTTGACGCACTCTTGCCATCTCTTGGCGTAAAATACAAACTGCAGTTATTCGCAAAAAACACAAACTTACAAAAATAAGCACTGAAAGTCTTCACTCAAAATTTCCACAAAGCCCCACTATCTTCTTGCCCCCAACCCTGCCCGCGCCCCCCCCCACACACTCTCTCACATGTGTCAAAACATTTCTCGCTATGTCTCTTAATCAGTGGGGCCAATAGAAAAATGCGGAAATATTTGCCAAACATTTCAGGGAAATTTGACAAATTCTAAGGGAAATTGCGGGGGTTGGGGGAGCGTCAATTGGTGCTACTGAGAGGCACATTTTACTGCCAACCTATATTTTTTGAAAGCACGTGATCGGTTGAGACAATGGGTACCATTCACCAAGACAAGACAGTGACGTTTTCTAAGTGGGATCATCCAGCTCCTCACTCTCATCCGTGGGGTATTGGGGGGGCGGGTGGGGTGGGGGGGGGGAAATGGTGTTGGGGGGCAGTGAGGAGAGCAGAACTAGACAGAGTGGTCCATGTGAATCCTGCACTACATTCAAAGGCCTGGAGATTCGATGAACACTGCAGGGGTCCTGACTGCGGAGCTCCAGGAGGTCACCATCCTCTGCCTCTCAGCACTGCACACAGAGGCCCAAAGAGAGGCAGCCCTCCCTCCCCACTCAGGGAGAGATACACTCACAGACACACACAGAGAGGGAGAGGGACACACACTCACAGAATCAAACAGAATAATAATCCTGGCAATTGGCTGCCGCGTTTCGCCCACAAAATATACAGTGAAGTCACTTTACAGTATATTCAATATATTCAAATACATGAGCAGGCTAACGCTTCACAGAATATACTGCAAATTGAATTCGCTGTATATCTTGTGGGTGAAACGCCGCAGCCAATTGCGCACAGCAGCGTCCCACAAACAGTCATGGATTGACAGACCAAATTATTTTTATTATTTATTTTGAAGGATCCCCGGAAAAGCGATCCGCCAATCAACTAACAATCGTCCTATTTTCTGCGGGGTAAACAAAGGCGAGTAAGCAAACGTGCCCAACGATTCACCTTCCCGGGAATCGAATGCAGACAGAGGAGACTTGCACACCAGAAAAAGAGAGAGAGGGAATCACTCACAGACAGACAGAGAAAGACAGAAAGGAACACACATACCAAAACAAACACAGACAGACAGAGGAGAGACTCACCTACGCGCATAGATATTCTCAAGACAAAATGCCTTCTCAGGGCGGGTTAGTGAAGCCCGCTCTGCATGCAGGTCCACAAGATTTTCTCGGTTTACTGGACTAAACCAGGGCTTGGAACTCAACAGTCTAAGCTGAGGTGCGCTGGGGGGATGCTTCACTGTTGGAGGTGCCGGCCTTAAGACGAGACGTTAAACTGTGGACGGGAATGTCTCCCAATGTCCTCGCTAACAACAACATTACCTGTGTCCAGCACCTTTCACCATCGGGAGGACGTCCCAAGGCGCCAGTCAGTGTTTCAGATCCAAGCTGGGGGTCTGGATCGGGGAGGGTGGAGGCTGGGGGGGGGGGGGGGAGGAGGGTGAGCGAAGGTACGGTCGAAGAGGAGGGTCTTGAGGTGTGCTGGGGTGTCTTGAGGTGTCTTGAAGGTGGCGAGGGAGGTGGCGAGGCGGAGGGACTGCGGGATGAAGTTCCAGAAGGTGGAGGCAAAGTGGCATAATGCCAGTCCATCAATGGAGTGGCGAGTGAGGCGGGGGATGTGAAGCAGGCTGGAGCCCGCTGAGCGGAGGGAGCGAGCGGGTTAGTAGGAGGTTAGATGGTCGCAGAGGTAGAGGGGAGCAAGGCCATGGAGGGCTTTGAAACAATTATCTCCAGGATATCCTTCACGATATATCTTATGAACATTTAGCAACGTGAAAGACTCAATATCAGATGTAAGTATTATCACGGTTACTGTGCTGGGAGCGTCAGGCTGGTTTGTGAGCTCAAAATCCCAGCTTCAATCCACAAACTTCAACTGAGGAACTGAGCCAGGCTGATATTTGGAGTCACTGGGACTCAATCCGACAATCTCCTCCCATGCCCTGACCGAGCTAAAGGGATATTTATTTCGGGGTTGGGGGGGTGGGCTGCTCAGCCTTGTATCTGACACATGCGGAAACCCATCACGGTGCTTAAAGAGTCTCCAAACCAAGCTGAGAATTCCATCCCACATCCCACCTACACATGAAAATCCCAGAGAGATTGTTGGAATGGCATGCGCACTCTCTCCCTGGAGGGACGCATCCTGCTTACCTAATTCCGGAGAGTATTAGGCGCAGGTTGGCGAGAGCCAAGGCTTGGGGGGGGGGAGCCCAGAGTGTGCGTTGGGGTAACTGCTGGAGTCTAATCAGCTAAATATTTTCAGACTCAAAACTGTAATAAAGTGAGCAATGAAGTTACCCCTCTGCTCTCAGGCTCTGAACGCTGGCCCTGGGGTCTGGGTGGAGTCTTCAATCTGTCAATGAGAAGTAAATCTTTTAACCTTTGATACAAACCTGTAAAGGGCAGAACATCTGAAATGGGGAGTGGGCTTAAAGCAAATATAAAATCACCGCCATTCTGTTCTGCTCAACCCACCCTGATCCGCCTGGGTATCAGGGAGAAGGAAAGGCACTGCTGACCTCAACAGCCCCTCCCACGGTGGAGCCAGAGCCCCGCCCCAACCCTGGCAGAACAAGGCCCCGCCCCATCTTACAGAACAGCCCCGCCCCCAACCCTATCCGAACAATAGCCCCCACAACCCCAATTGTACAGCCCCGCCCCCAACCCTATCAGAATAGCTCCACCCACAACCCCAATTGAACAGCTCCGCCCACAATCCAGGCAAAACAAGGCCCCACCCCCAAACCTGTCAGAACAGCCCTCGCCCCCAATTGAACAATAATAGCCCCACCCACAAGCCGGGTAGAACCATTGCCCCGCCCCTTAGTGTGGGGAATGAAAGCCCCGCACACCCAAGCAAAGCAAATGTCTCACTCCCCAAATCCCCTATGAAAGCCTCACTCTGGGAGCGATGGCCAGTCGCTGACAGGCCCTGACCTCACACGTACCTGGGGTCCTCCTGGCTTGTGCTGCCCCTGCCATACAGAGGGATGACTTTCTCACGACTGATCCCAGCTTTGCAGACAGGACATTCTTGTCGGTCGGGTCTGGTCTCTAACCACTGGACAGGGAGGGAGGCAGAGACAGCGTGTTTCAGAGCAGCACATGCACTCCAGCACAGAGACACTGGGCAACAGCTTACACTTACACCCTTCACCTTCAAACAAAGTCTCAAAGGGTTTCTCAGTGACGAAATTCATAATGAAATGAAGGTGGGTTATAATAATAATAATTTATTTGACATAACGGCTTATCACATCTTCAAGACGTCTCAAAAGTGCTTCACAGAATATACGGTAAAGTGAACTGACTGTATATTTTGTGGGCAAATCAGGCAGCCAATTGCGCACAGAGGCGTCCCACAAACAGTCCTGCATTGAATGACCAAATTATTTTTTTTTTGAAGTAATTATTACCCGCGGAATAGTGATCCGCCAATCGACTAACAACTGGGTTCCTACTTATTGCTGGGTAAATGGAAACTTGCCCAACATTTCGCCAGGCCAGGAATTAAACCCAGGTCCTCTCGCTTGCGAGGCGAGTGCTCTAACCACTGAGTTACATGACTCCACAGGTTATGCAGATAAACACAACATCCCACCAACAATAATAGTCCTTGTGCTTGATTATAGCACCTTATCGAATCCAAACGCCTTCAATTGCTTCACAGTGACCTGTTGTAAATTGTAGTAACTGTGAATTTGCAGGCAATGAGACAAGCTGCTTCTATTTAGGGGCAAATCTGGATAACTGGGAAATGTCTAGTTGTTACATTCCAGTTTAGATTTATACAGCGCTTTTTTTGAGTGTTGGAATAACGAAGCTTTGACTCGATGAAGACATGAATGAGGTAGCCCAGAGGTATTGGCGGACAAGGGCAATGTTAATATTAATAGTCCTTGCATTTAATACAGCGCCTTATCAAGTCATTGAGCCTTCTCAAAGCTCTTCATAGAATGTATTATAAAGTGAATTGACTATTTTGTGGGAGAAATGTGAACAGCAGTATCCCACAAACAATTGTGGATTGAGTGACCAAAATTTTATTTTATTATGAATGGATTAATAGCCCCAAAAGCAATCCGCCAATCATCGAACAACCAGGCTCCTACTTGCTACTAGGTAAACAGAGGCAGTTGGAGCAAGGAAAATTGCCTAACGTTTCATCCTGCTGGGAATCAAACCTGGGTGTCCTCTCTTGCGAGGCGAGTGCACTATCCAATACGTGGCAAAATGTGGCAACCAACTTGCACAGAGCAATGTCCCACAAACAGCCGTGAGCTGATCGCCTGATTTATCTGGGGGATTGTTGGCCAGGAAACAGGGAGAGAAATTCCCTTCTCTTTTCTAATATTACCACGAGATCTTTAATATCCACCTGAACAGGCAGCCGGCAGTTTAATGTCCAATCCAAACGTACCTCAGACCTCAGGAGTGTAGAGCTCCCACCCAACACTGTAGTAGAGTGTCAGCCTGGACTGTGAGCCGATAATAATAATTCTTGCAGTTGATATAGTGCCTTATCTCATCTTCGAGACATCTTAAAAGCACTTCACAGAATACACTGTAAAGTGGAAGTGGGTGAAGCACGGCAGCCAATTGCGCACAGCAGTGTCCCACAAACAATCTTGGAATGAACGACCAAGTTATTATTATTTCTTTGAAGGGAATATTGCCACTGGAAAGCAATCCACCAATCGACTAACAAGTGCTGCTAGGTGAACAGAGGCGTGTGCGCCGAGTAAGGAAACTTGCCTGAGGTTTCACCTGGCCCGGGAATCCAATCGAACCTGGGTCCTCTCGTTTGCTTGCAAGGCGAGCACATTAACTATTATGTTACAGGACACTTAGATTTATAAAGGGGGGAGGGTAGGGGGTCGGAGACGGGGAATCTGAAACAAATGTTAATTTTTCCCGGAGTTCCTCAGCAAGGGCTGGATGAGGAGTATGGCAGGCCAACTCCACTTCCAGAGAGGATGGTTATGGAGGAGACTGGGTTGGGGTTATTAAGGAATCCAGTTAGAAATGCCACATATTCATCTGTAATGAACGGAGAGGATAATACATCTGGCTTCCCTGCCCCGTGGCCTATACCTGTAGCTGTAGAGTCCTATACCTGTGGAGTCCTGTAGCTCAGTGGTTAAAGCACTCGCCTTGCAAGCGAGAGGACCTGGCTTCGATTCCCGGCAGGGCGAAATGTTGGGCAAGTTTCCTTACTCCACACGCCTCGGTTGACGCAGCAGTAAGTAGGAACCCAGTTGTTGGTCGAATGGCGAATCGCTTTTCTGGGGGTTAATAATTCCTTAAAAAAAAAAATTGGGTCACTTCAATCCATGACTGTTTGTGGGATGCTGCTGGGCAATTGGTTGCCACTTTTCGCCCACAAAATACACAATTAAATTAAATTCACAGTATATTCTGTGAAACTCTTTGAGACATCTCGAAGACGTGATAAGGCACTATATCAAATGCAAGGACTATTATTATTATCTGCCACATGGCCACAGCAGTAAGGAGCTTGGAGGGTAAAGGTGGGAGGGTGAGGAAAATGATGGTGCTCTTACCTGATGAAGACATGGCCAACTGCAGATAATAGGAGGTACCGGGAGAGAGGGAGAAAAATAGGTTAGACAAGTGACATGATAGCGGGAACAACATTCCTGAACAAATAACCACCACAATCCAGCACAGGCTCCCTAATTCTCTCTCTCTCTCTCTCTCTCTCTCCTCCCAGGGAATGCTCTGGAGTCCAAGATGTTTTGTCTTTTAGTCTCTGAACTCTGTTAAAACAGGATTCTGGGAATCATAGAATTATACAGCACAGAAGGAGGTTGTTCGGCCCATCGTGCCTCTGTCAGCTCTTTCAAAGAGCTGTTCAAATTAATCCCACTCACCACTCTCCCCCCTTGGCCCTGCAAGTGTTTTTTTCAAGTAAATATCCAACCCCCTTTTGAAAGTTATTACTGAATCTGCTTCCACCACCCTTTCAAGCTGTGCATTGCAGACCGAAACAATTTTACACATAAAAATGTTTTTCCTCGTCTCCCCTCTGGTTCTTTTGCCAATTATCTCAAATCTATATTCCCTGATTACCAACCCACCGGCCAGTGGAAACAGTTTCTCCCTGTCTACTCCATCAAAACCCCTCATCATTGTGAACACCTCTATTAAATCTCCCCTTAACCTTCTCTGCTCTAAGGAGAACAATCCCAACCTCTCTCGTGTCTCCACAAAACTGAAGTCCCTCATCTCTGGTATCAGGATATTGACTTACTGACTCAAAGCCTCAGAATTATTCACACTAATGCTATAACCTGCCACAGACCCAGGCCCCTAAGTCAGTCTGTTTTCTTTCCCTGAAATAACAGGGTCAATTTTTCAGTATTTCTTGAGGAATTTCTTAATTAATAATAATAATAATCCTTGCATTTGATACAGCGCCTTATCACGTCTTCGAGACGTGAACTCCCTCAGCTCCACCACCAGTGGTCGTGCTTTCAGCCACTACGCTCTGAAGCTCTGGAATTCTCTCCCGCACTCCCTCCCTCTCCACTTTCAAATCCCGCCTAAAGACGGTGCTTACAGTCACCTCCTCCTCCACCCCCTCTCCCCTCTCCCCTGGCTCAGGGTCAGATTCCACCACTGTCAAGCGCTCTGGGACGCTATCTGTGTAAATCTGTTGTTGTTATTGTTGTTAGTTGTTGTTGTTTGTGGAGGTAACGGGAAATCAGACTCTGGATAACCACAACAACCAGACACAACAACAACAACTTGCATTTATTTAGCTCCCCTCAAGCAGGGTAGCGTTCCAGAGCACAAAGATGCTACAGTCCCAGCTGTGAGTGGCGTCGCAGTGTCAGCTACCCTGTGTGTCAGGATCAGACAGACACAAGCAAACCCTGTAGGCCGCAGTTATTCAGAGCGTGAAATCTCCATCCCCATAAATCCCCATCAGCCCACGGTTGAATGACTCGCAGCATCAGAATGGCTGGGGGCGGGGAGGGGAAGTGTAATAATAATAATCCTTGCAATTGATATAGCACCTTATCACGTCTTCGAGATGTCTCAAAGCGCTTCACAGAATATACTGTAAACTGTATATTTTGTGGGCAAAAAGCGGCAGCCAGCAGTGTCCCACAAACATTTGTGGATTGAGTGACCAATTTATTAGTATTATTATCGTTTAAAGGAAGTATCATGCCCGGAAAGGCGATCCACCAATCGACTAACAACCGGGTTCCTGGTGACTGCTACGTAAACAGAAATGTGTGGAGTTAGGAAACTTTTTGTCCTGTCCGGAAATCGAACTCAGGTCTCTCGCTTGCGAGGTGAGTGCTCTAACCATTGAGCTACAGGACTCTACTAAGATACAGAAATATCTCGACTGGAAACAAATCTCCATTAGCGGATGGTTGATTCACTCGCAGCATCAAAATGGCTGGGAAAGGGGGAGGGGAGGTTTTGAGAGGCAGCGGGAGGAGGCAGAAACACTCAGACTAAGCTGGACACTGGGTGATGGAAGCAAATATCATAAAACACCGACCTGCAAAACATTCGATCAAAATTTACAGCCAGCATGAATTAAAACAAGGGTAACTGTGAGGAGAATGCTTTTAATTTGAAGTATTTTGATATATATTTGCACAATATATGTACTGGTAATAATTCTTTCAAAAAATAATAATTTGGTCTCTCAAACCACGACTGTTTGTGGGACGCCGTTGTGCGTAATTGGCTGCCTTGTTTCGCCCATAAAATATAGTCAGTTTATTTTACAGTATATTCCGTGTGAGGATTATTATTCATCATATCCGCTCCCTATGACTCGTCACACCAAAGCCTGACACAATACAGGGTCACTTTGACCTAAACACATGCTCAGGTTTGGTCCCTGTTCCACTGTAAAGCACAGTACTAGATACTCACACCCAGATAAACCTTTCTTGTTGGCTCTAACTGGTCATTACACTGTGCCAGCCTGTACTACAACAACAAAATTACATTTGTATTGCGCCTTTCACGTCAGGAGGACGTCCCGAGTTTCGGACCCGAAAGTCGAAGGAGCGAACAGGATGGTAGGGGGTTAGGAGGTCGGAGAGGTAGGAGGAGCAAGATCATGGAGGGCTTTGAAGGTGAGGACCAGGATCTTGAACTGTATCCTCTGTGTGATGGGAAACCAGTGGAGTTGGGCAAGGATGGGGGTGATAGGGTCATGGAGCCTGGTGCGGGAGAGGACATGGGCTGCAGAATTCTGGATGATCTGGATGTGGAGGGAGGAGTTGGGGAGGCCGACAGTTTGAGTTTGCATAGTCGAGCCTCAAAGTAATGAAGGCATGTATGAGAGATTCAGCGAGCTGCGGTGTGAGACAGTGTCGGAGCCGGTGATGTGGCGGAGGTGGTGGATGGCAGAGCGGGTCGGGTCATGGCGTGAATGTGGGATGGAAAGAATAGTTGAGGGTCGAACAAGACCCCAAGGTTCAGGATTGGCTTAGCGAGGTGGAGTGTGCAACCATGGATGGTGATACTGTCAGCGCCTGAGGGGAGGAGGCGCTGACGGGAGCCAATCAGGAGGGCCTCGGTCTTGTTGACATTCAACTGAAGAAAGTTCGCTCTCATCCAGGACTTGATGTCTGACAGACATTTTGTCAGCACAGCAGTTGTCTTGAGTCAAAGGTGGAGACTGAGAGGTAGTTTGGTGTCATCTGCATACATGTATGACACAGCTTCCTTACTGTACTACAGTGTATAGAAAGACAGGTTCCTGATGGTATAAATACTCAGCTTCCTAGTTTTGCAGTGTAGATACACAGCTTCCTGTTAATGACAATAGTAATAATCCTTGCATTTGATAAGAGCACCTTATCATGTATTCGAGACGTCTCAAAGCGCTTCACAGAATATACTGTAAAATGAATTGACTACATATTTTGCAGGTGAAATATGGCAGCCAATTGCGCACAGCAGCGTCCCATAAACAGTCGTGGATTGAAGTGAACAATTCATCGTTATTTTTTGAAGGAATTTTTATGCTTGGAAAAGCGATCCACAATCGACGAACAACCGAGTTTGTGCTTACTGCTTGGTAAACAGAGGTATGGAGTAAGGAAACTTGCCCAGCGTTTCATCCTGCCCAGAAATCAAACCAAGGTCCTCTCTCTTGCAAGGCGAGTGCTCTAACCATCGAGCTACAGAATTCCATGTGATGTAGTGCAGATACATAGCGTCCTGCTGTTAAAGAACAGACAGACACAGCAAGTTGGCTCTACACTGCAGATAGAAACAGCTTCTTTGTTTATACTGGCGATAGACACAGGTTCCTGGTACGGTAGTGCAGATACCCATACACACACAGAGAGCGTCCTAGTATTACAGCGCAGATGGACGCAGCCCATAGAAGGTCTGGGTAATCTCCATGTCACACTTGAGTACTCGTTGCCTCTCACAAAGCCTTGTGTGAGATGTTGGTGTGAGTAACTTCTACAACCTTTCTTTTTGAACAGTCTCACAGCGCTTCCTGCAAATATAAAGTGGAGTAACTTTCCTGGAGGCCAACATGACACCTGGATGGCACCTGCGATGTCCCACACGTGGCAGTGAATGAACGGCCAACTGAACTGCTTTGGGGGAAATTTGATGAAGGAGGAATGTTCCTCCCACCTTGGTGAATTCCCTGCTTTTCTTCCAAACACACCCATGGGATCTTTACTCTCACCTGAACCAGCAGAACAGGAGCTTGCTTTAACTTCTCAGCTGTAGCACAACAACAAATCACACTTGTATAGCGTCCTTCACGTCAGAAAGACAGCCCAGGGTGCTGGCACCTCCAAAGAAGGGCTTTCTTCATCCCAAACAATCTTGGGATTGTGATGTTCAGTCACAATATAGGACTCAAACCTCTCGCCCAAGATATGAGAGTGTTGCCAACTGAACCAAGCTGTCAGTGTATTGGCAGAATGTTCAATACCTCGTAAACGCTCTGTACGCTGATAACCAGAGGAGACATCCACTGGAGACTTGCGCAGCTTTACAGTACACAGCAAACAAGATACAGGAGGAGCAGAGAGAACACGTGAATTGAGATAATCCCAAACTACTGATACAAGAGACAAAGTTCAGACACGTGTCAGATGTTCCCTTTACTCAGCCACCAGGCCTCAAGCACCCACCTACCCAATATATCTCAGTCTGTCCCTATCTCTATATCACCCCAATATATCTCAGGCAGTATTGCTCACAAACATCGATAATAATAATCCCTCCAAATCCAAAAACAATAATAATTTGGTCATTTTCAATCTACGACTGTTTGTGGGACATTGCTGTGCGCAATTGGCTGCCGCGTTCGCCCACAAATATACAGTCAATTCACTTTACAGTGTGTTCTGTGAAGCGCTTTGGGACGTCCTCCTGACGTGAAAAGCGCTATATCAAATGCAAGGATTATTATTATTATTATTATTATTATTAGGTACAGCAAACACATGGTCTCAGGCGATATGCATTCTAATAACGCAATTTTTTAAAAAAACTCAGATTATTTCTGAGTCAGCGCCTTGGGACGTCCCCTTGACCTGAAAGGCACT